TGCTTGGACTATTTTAATGAAATTTTTCTCGGTGATTATTTCAGTACTCGCTAATTATTGGTTTCTCAGGTATTTGGTTGGTGCTGTTATGTTCTAATGGATGTACTTAATTACTGAAATTAATCCCATCAAATTTCATGTCTGAGAGAAAATCATATTTGGGTGGAAAAACGATATGTCCTGATTTTTTTCCAGGTCGACAAAAATCACATATATATGATTTTGTCTGCAAATCTCAGTATAAGTACTCCTGAGCATGCCGAGTCCGGTCCTATCATCGACAGTTCGATTGCTGAATAATTAGTGGTCGTAACGATGCTTGGAATATTTTAATTAAATTTTTCACAATGCTTATTTCAGTACTCTCCAACTATTGGTTTCTCAGGTATTTGGTTGGTGTTGTTATGTTCTTCTGGATGTACTTAATTACTGAAATTAATCCCACCAAATTTCATGTCCGAGAGAAAATCATATTTGGGTGGAAAAACGCATAAGGGGGGACCCTTACGCTTTTTTTCCAGGGTTGAGAGAAAACGCAATATACGCGATTTTGTTCAAAATCTCAGTATAAGTACTCCTGAGCATGCCGAGTCCGGTCCTATCATCGACAGTTCGATTGCTGAATAATTAGTGGTCGTAACGATGCTTGGAATATTTTAATTAAATTTTTCACAATGCTTATTTCAGTACTCTCCAACTATTGGTTTCTCAGGTATTTGGTTGGTGTTGTTATGTTCTTCTGGATGTACTTAATTACTGAAATTAATCCCACCAAATTTCATGTCTGAGAGAAAACCATATTTAGGTGGAAAAACGCATAAGGGTCCCCTCTTACGCGTTTTTTCCAGGGTCGAGACAAAACGCGATATATGCGATTTTGTTCAAAATCTCAGTATAGGTACTCCTGAGCATGCCGAGTCCGGTCCTATCATCGACAGTTCGATTGCTGAATAATTAGTGGTCGTAATGATGCTTGTTCTAATGGATGTACTTAATTACTGAAATTAGTCCCACCAAATTTCAAGTGAGAGAGAAAATCATATTTGGGTGGAAAAACGCATAAGGGAGGGACCCTTACGCGTATTTGACAGGGCCGAGAGAAAACGAGATATATGCGATTTTGTTCAAAATCACAGTACAGTGGGGTATGCTATAACGAACGGATCCTACTATTAATATTCCTATAACGAACGGTTTTACCTATAAAATTGAGAATGCTATAATGAACGCAACTCCTACAATGAACGCGGATGAATGCGGGACTATTTCGCCTGGAGCATGAATATTGTTGTACCGCGACCCACAACAAGAGCGTCAGGCGCCATCTTTGTCTCATTGTGTAGCCAGTGCACCACTGTTATTGTTGAAATTTCGTCTTTTAATGTGGAAATTCGCGTTATTTGTATAACTATTTTGTTGTACAAGTATACAATTGTAACAATGAATCGTTCAAAGCGAGTGAGAAAGCTAATAACCCTTGAAACTAAGAAAGAAATTATAAAGAAACGTGAGAATGGAAGAAGCATTGCGAAACTTAGTGATGAGTATGGGATGGCTAAATCGACTATATGTACGATTTTGAAGAATAAAGGGGAGTTAAAAACTGTGCAAGTGGCTAAGGGAATCTCTAGACTTAGCAAAGCAAAGTGTAATGTGATTGAAGAGATGGAAAATTTACTCTTAGTGTGGATAAAGGAGAAAGAAATGGCAGGTGGTAACATTAGTGAAGCTATAATTTGTGAGAAGGCTAAACAATTGTTTGAGGACCTTAAAGCCAAGACTCCCAGTGGAAGTGATAGTGATGTGCCAGTGTTTAGGGGTACCTGCATGCTGAATAACACTAAGGCAAGATAAAGTACCGTATTTTTTACATTTTCCACAGAATTTTTTCAGTGTTAAGTGGTTGTATTTGGGGGCCTGGAACGGATTAATCCTATAACGAACGAATGCTATAACGAACGAGGTTCTGGAACCAATTACGTTCGTTATAGCATACCCCACTGTATAGGTACTCCGGAGCATGCCGAGTCCGGTGCTATCATCTACAGTTCGATTGCGGAATAATCAGTGGCCGTAATGATGCTTGGAATATTTTAATGAAATTTTTCACAATGCTTATTTCAGTACTCGCTAATTATTGGTTTGTCAGGTATTTGGTTGGTGTTGTTATGTTCTTCTGGATGTACTTAATTACTGAAATTAATCCCACCAAATTTCATGTTTGAGTGATAATCATATTTGGGTGGATATATATATATATATATATATATATATATATATATATATATATATATATATATATATATATATATATATATATATATATATATACATACATACATACATACATATATGCATATATATATATATATATATATATATATATATATATGTATATGGAAACAACGGAGTACCTTAGCTTTCGTCTTTATTCAAGATGTCTTGAATAAAGACGAAAGCTAAGGTACAGTACTCCGTTGTTTCCATTTTCCCGTGTGATTTTATCAAGATAGATATATATATATATATATATATATATATATATATATATATATATATATATATATATATATATATATATATATATATATATATATATATATATATATATATATATATATATACATACATACATATAAGCCTATGCTCATGAGAAGGATGGTGGTTGCAGGCCAGCCAACAGAATTGTTTGTGCATGGACAGCTATGGAGAAAATCAACAGAGATAATGGTTGTCTCTTTGTTATCCGTGGGTCACATAAAGGAGTTCTGGAACAGCATGACTATCCTGACTGGGAGGTAAGAAGCTGATTTTGAGGATTTTCTCTTTTTATCTCTGATATGAATAATAGTTGCTTTAATACAAAATAGATGACCTAGCTTAAAAGAAAAGTTATAAGAGAACTTTCTTCTTTTATCACTATTTATTCACAATGTCAGACCTATGTACAGTATTTCAAAAAAGTATCTGCCAGGAAGGATCCGATGTCTTCCGAAATACTACATTTGGTAACCTAATATCATATTAATTATGCCGAAATAAATACACATTGCATTGGGTTTTTTAAACTACCGGTGTATACCAAATTAAATGCATGTCCCAATATCTATCATCAGTTGTCTCAATGTTTCACACCGAGTCTGGACAGGTACATTTTTGAGATACATGGGGTCCCTGACGTACAAATGTCTGACTTACGAACGCCTGCCGCTAGGAACGGGGTTATATTTGAAATTTACAGTATTTTATTTACCTGATGACTTATTTTTTACATTCATTTACTGTATTTTGTCATTCTATTTCTTTGTTTCAAATTAGCTGATTTTAGTTGTATATGAGGACTTAGGCTATGATATAGTGGGATTTTAAACATTGTTCTGTAAGTACAGTAGGTACATAGCATGTGTTCTGACATACGTACAAATTCGACTTCGGAACATCCTCAGGAACGGAACCCATTCGTAACCTGGGGACCCTCTGTACTTCACAATATTTCATTTTGAACTCAGACTATTACAGGTTTTGTAAGGGATTCCATTCTGCAGAGAGCAGGGTTCTGAAGGTGTATTGACCCAAGACTTGTTTTGTGGCCTGTGTGGATTGAGGAGAAATATGAACAGTGGTACAGAAGTGTACTCAAAGCTGTTAGCACTGACAACTGGCTCAATTTTTGTACAGGGACTGAAGTAGAGCTGAGAGAGATATTGTCATTATTTTTAGAAAGGGACAGAAATAAGACATACCACATTAGGCAAGACTAAAAGTTTAGACTGCAGTGACTTTTAATTGCACATGTTGAAAAGGGGTCAATAATTTGTCATTCTTCAGTTAATTTTGAAAGTACATTATTTTGAAGTCAACTTGCTCCCACTGCATCTCATTTCAGAATGGTGTGATCATGGTGTTAGAGGCTATGATGGTGTACCCAAGACAATGCTGAGTATGGAAAAGGGTGACACTGTTTTCTTTCACCCCATCCTTTTACATGGATCAGAAGCTAATCGTACCCAGGTATTGAAAACCCAATTATTTGTAGTGGTTGAGGATTTTTTTTTTTTCTGGGGCATAGAAGCACTCCACCCTAAAGATCTCTGGTTCACATCCAGGCCACCCCTAGATGCCCTAGCTGTGAATGATCAACTTTGCAGTCAGGGAAGGGAGTGCAACTCCAACTATACTGCCTCCTTGAGTATTGGAAGTTTATCCTCTAACTACCCCCCAATCAGTCTAACATCAATAGTAAGCAAATTACTGGAAGCAATCATTTCAAACTCTATACGAAATCACCTGTAGAAGCACCGATTGATCAATGATTCCCAGCATGGCTTCACAAGCGGACGTTCTTGTCTAACTAATCTATTAACATTCTTTTCATCAGTTTTCGAATCGGTGGACAAGGGGCACAATTATGATGTGGTATATCTCGACTTTAGCAAAGCCTTCGACAGACTAATTAGAAAGGTAGAAGCACATGGCATCAAAGGTAACATCCTTAAACGGATTAGGGCGTGGTTACTGGACAGGAAACAGCGAGTGAGCATTAACAGCATTAAGTCCCATTGGAGCAACGTCACAAGTGGAGTTCCCCAAGGCTCAGTACTTGGACCATTATTATTTATTATACAGTATACATAAACGACATAGATATCGGCATAGACAGCATCATAAGTAAATTTGCTGATGACACTAAAATAGGACGTGTTATTAAATCTGACGAGGACTCCGCAAAACTACAAGACGATCTAAACAAATTTTTCGAATGGTCTGAGAAATGGCAGATGAAATTCAACGTGAACAAATGTAAAGTACTCAGTATAGGAGATGTAAACAGGGAAACCAGATACCAGATGAACAACGATGCCATAGAGAAATCCGACTGCGAGAGAGATTTAGCAGTAATGATAAGTAGGAGCCTTAAGCCAAGTAAACAATGTGTTTTTGCTCATAACAAGGCTAATAAAGAACTTGGGTTCATACAAAGGAGTGTTAGTTACAAGACTAGCGAGGTCATCCTAAAACTGTATCTTGCGCTTGTGAGACCACACCTGGATTACACAGTTCAGTTCTGGTCACCGTATTACAGGATGGATGTAGAATCATTGGAAAGAATTCAGAGGAGAATGACAAGACTAATCCCGGGCATTAGGAGCCTTGAGTATAGAGACAGGTTAAAGCATCTTAATTTGCACTCCCTCGAGAGACGTAGAGCGAGGGGCGACCTGGTAGAGGTGTATAAGTGGAAGTCAGGGCTAAACAAAGGGGACATTACAAAGGTACTCAAACTATCCAACCAGGAGCGAACTCGTAACAATGGTTTTAAATTAGACAAATTTAGATTTAGGCGTGAAATAGGTAAACACTGGTTTGGAAACAGAGTAGTGGATGAATGGAACAAATTACCAAATATCATCATTAACTCGAATACGCTGAATAGCTTCAAACATAGGTTGGATGCTTATATGAGCAATAGGGGTTGGGCGTAAACGGGACTGCCCAGTATGGGCCAATAGGCCCGCTGCAGTTTCCTCCATTCTTATGTTCTTATGTATTTAGTATGCTAAATTTGCACTGACACTAATGGGCCATCAGGATTATGGGATCCACTTTGTCTTTTTCATAAACTGAACCTCATAGGCTTAGTGACCAGCTTTTCTTAGATGTTCTAATGAGTGTGGCTAAGGACTTTTGGAACCAGTGGTTGAAAATTAAATTTTTTTTTTTTTGTTATTACACACTTGACTTCTTTATAAATAAAATTTTGATATACTGTACATACTGTACTCTAAGCCCTTTTCTTTTCAGCATTACCGCAAGGCAATAGCCTGTCATTTTGCAAGTTCAGAATGTGATTATATTGATGTGAAAGGTACAACCCAAGAGAACATTGCCAAGGAAATTGAAGAAGTAGCTGTAACGAAAGGTATTGAGGGCCTTAATTTCAAGGTAAAATATTATACAGTACAAGTTTTAATTTAGATTGTAAGGGAAGGTTGTGTGTTAATGATCTAACAAAGTTTTTTGCAACGATTTATGCTAATTGTTGTATAGCTCCAGGGATATTAAGTGTTTCTTAACACTGATTCACCCAGTAAGAGTATAAGGGGGAGAGAGTGAAGAAAAAAGCTGGAAAAAAGAGAGGGAACTGACAGAGGCATAATAAAAGGAATTAGGAAAGGGCTTGAGATAGGGAAAAGGGAAGAGAAAGGGAGGGTGGGTAGAGGAGAGACTAAAGAACGTATGGGAGCTTGTGAGAAAGAATATGGGGAAGTATGGTTGTGTACATACAGATATATAGTTACCAGTAATAGATGTATGGACCAATGGTTCGGGGGCTATGTAGACCCATAAACACTGAAAATATTACATTTCGAAATATCTGTATATTCAAAGTAATTTTTGGTATTTTAGAGCTGGCTGACTATAGGATTCACAAAAAATGGGATTTCATGATCAGTCATCCCTATACTGTATAATGCATGCGAGTGTTTATCATTCATTAAAAGGATATATTTTGTTTATATAACTCAGTATGAGTGGGATCATACAGTACATTTTCAAAGTATCCAAATCATACAAGGAAGGTAACTTCACTTCCTGCTATGTAAACTTAAAAGTTTCCAGGTAACTACTGCATTAGTTTCTGTGTAGAAAGAAAATCCCATTGTAGTTTAAATTATTTTTATACACAATTTTACATACAAGTGGTAGTGCTGTGTTTAGTTTAATGATGATTGGAGATTAACCAGTGATAAGCAGTGTATTGTGTGAATGAATACTATTTATTACAATTCTTAGGTTCAGTTATTTTTCAGATTTCCTAGATAATGTTTTATGAATAATACATAACTCTTTCCAAACTTAAGATCATATAAATTACATAATACTTTTCAATGTTTGAAGCACTAATGGAGTGTGTGGACTGTTTGGTGATAAAGTTTTAAGCTTTGAAATTGTCATCTTATAGCCCAACTGTCCATTTAAACAAATTCAGTGATCTTCTATAACTTCTTCAGAAATGGAAATTGATAGTAACATTAGGTTTAATTTATTAAAAATTGCTTGACAGACCTATGATAGATCAGTTGATGGAATGTCACATGATTTCATAGTGGAACACCATCAGCAAACAGTCAACATGTAATGTCAAAGTTTCACAGACTGTAAAATAGGACAAAATTTATTTGAAATAATAGTAAGTTCAAGAAGTTTGGAATCTATTGAATAGAAGAATTATGGCCTCTAATAATTTATACCAATCAAATATTTTACAGTAAAATTACAAAATTTTGCTGTTTATTTTTGGTTACTCGTAATACCATATTATGTGAATAAAAGCCTGATAAATCACTCTTAACATTTCTTTACAGGACATCTGGAAGTTCCGCAGCCGTTTAGTTCGTGGTGTGGAAATCAACTTGTAATGAATGACCTATTGTGTGATTGTCTGTCAAGTGGATATATCTCCTGTACTGACATAAATTCATAGTTTACTTTATACATCAGAGTTGCTCATTAATGTGTATGGGGAACCCCAGCTAATACCTAAGCTGGTCTAAATCATATCATGGGTGGACATCACTTTGACCTAACTTGGTGGAGCTCACCACAACTCTGGCTGGCTCACTTTATCATGAGCCGGTCTTACGTTAATGCATATCAATAAGTTGTAAAAGGGGATGTTGTTATCACGAAATTGTTATTGTGTTGCATATTAACCAGTGAATCTACTATACAGTACAGTTGCCAGCAAAAGTTCTCCCACAGCCCTGTGTAGAAAGTTGTTGGAGAACTTTTGCCGGCAACTGTACATACCGGTGTGCATATTGATAATACATTGCATATATACGTACTGCGTATATACTGTACACGTACTGTACATACATATATTGATAATGCATTGCATATATACATATGGATAATACAATGAGTATACAGGATACTTTTATACATATACGTACTGTACGTATGTATATTGATAATCAGTTGCATACCGGGTGTATACTTTTATATATTGGTACTGTACTTTTTTTTTAATTCCGGGATTAGCCCACTTGGTCACAGGTCACTGACCCACGTCGGGGCCTGGGGGGCAAAAAGTAATAAAAATAATAAAAATAATAATTGTTAATAAAAGAATAATAATAATAACAATGTAATAATAATAATAAAGAACCATAAAGAAATACAAAATGGGAATAAAAGATCAAAAGTGAGAAACAATATATGTATGATGTTTTGTCAATAGTAAGAGAAACAATTGACCTGCAATTACGTATATTGATAAAATACATTGCATATATACTTCTGTATGTAGGTACTGTACTGTATATTGCTAATATGTTGCATATATTTGAAGAATTCCACGATTTTCATTGTCCTTTAAGTGTTAATTGCCATTCAATATAGGAAAATTTTAAAAAAAATTTCAAATATTTTCAAAAAATTTCAAAAAAAATTTCCAAAAACTTTGTTTAAATTTTGGAGAAGTTCCGAACATTTTTGTTTAAATTTTGGAAAATTTCTGAAATTCTTTGGAAATTTTCTGAATTTTTTGGGAAATTTCGGAAAAATTTGGAAATTTTTTGGACATTTTTTAGAACATTTCGGAAAATTTTGGGAAAATTTCGGACAACTTTTGGAAAATTTCGAACAATTTTGGGAAAATTTCTGAAAATTTTTAGAAAATTTCTGAAATTTTTTGAAGACAGTCCGTTGATGAAGGCATCCCGTACTAACTCTTAACGATATTCTTTGGCTGTGACAGCTTTTAGATTAAAATCTTTGCCGAGTCTGCAAGTCGCGAAGAAATTTATCCAGCATTTGAGAAGGACGCTGACGTCTTGTGGAGAGCTGATGTCTGGCGAATATCTCATTTTTCTTTTTCAAACTCCGTTGCATCACCAAAGTATTCATACACAGTAGCAGACACATATTTTGTCAAACATTTTAGTTTGTCAGGCGCTCTGTCTTCACGCTCATCAATAAAATTTTCAAAAGTTTTACGCCAATGCTTGTATTCTTTCTCAGCAGCTGGGGAATTTGGATCAACATCAAGCTTGTCGGGGCAGAGTATACGTTCCATGTTGCTAGTAGAATATAAGTTGAATTAACTGTCATATGATATCAAACACCTTCAGTAATCAAGGCTTTATTCAACTCATAAATTCATATACATCTGCAACAGAACAAAGAAAAACCCAATTAGAACGAGAACATTTAAAGTAAAGGTAAACACACACAAAATTTATTCCATAATATGACAAGGATAAAAGTGAAAAAAGATATATATGCCTAATACTTGCGAACACTTGTCAACAGTGTGCAACAGAGAGCTTGTTCATGCCTAGTATGTGCCAACAGCATTAGTGGTGTTGTATTGGCTCCTCTCCCCAACAACTCCCAACTGAGCTCCAGCCGCGCGCCTACCAGTCAATCAGCGTACAGCCAGCTACGCCGAGAGACTAGATCTATGCAATGGACGTAGGGGTACGATCACCGACCTAGTCTCGACCTTCAACCTCCAGCACAGGATCAGAGCGTTTCACACCTTACGCTTAAGCTGCTGTGATTGGCCCTCTCGCTACGCTCACCCCGAATCCTGATCTTCGTAAATTGTATAAATACGGCCATGCCTGGCCAGGGGGACCATTCTACACTCGGCTACTGGACCAGCAACATCTCTCACAGCTCCTCACCACCCAGCTTCCTCAGAAACCTCCTCGCCCTACAGGACCTCTGAGCAAGTTTTTCCTCACCTAGTCACTCCTAAGCACTGCGCTGTACAACAATATATATACAGAAAGCGCATTGTGAGTTTCTATTCTACCTCATTCCTGAGTGTGAGATATCTTCATGTACGTACGTTTGTGTGCCCATACTAAGAGAATTGACAACTGGCCACATACAGTACGCTACACTGTATCCGTTTTTCCTCAAAAGCAGGTACAATACTGCGATACTTTGCATCCTCTCTTGTAATCACAGATGGAAAGAATTTATTTAACGCCTCTACCTTGTCCTGGTCTGAGTCTGCTTTTCAAGTCTATAATTTACTTCTGGTCAATCAGGTAGTCCATCAGTTTATTACTGCTCACTGCTGCTATGTGCTGGGCCCTCACACACACTACGTCTACGGGCTCGTGAATGTACTCAAACATGTTCCAGTGTTGCTCAAACCTGGACTTATAGGAGCACACCACTTGTTGGTTTATGACAGACGGTAAAATAATTATGACAACTATCACCAAAGATTATACACTTAAAAAAGTATCTTAGGTCAGATGAATTTCAAAATGAATACCGTGACTCCTGTTGTCTCAATAGGGTTGTCAAAAACCTTCGTCCTTTGAGTCATTTTGTCTAACACAAAATCGGAATGATGCCGATTGAAGTTTGTGTACAGGTATAATATTTATTGCCCAGGTTACTGACCCGAGTCTCTCTTTAAGGTAATGTATTTTAGAGAGTTGAATATCTTAACCAGTTCGTGAATAACAGCAAATTTAACAATATGAACAGATAAGCTTTCATAGTCAAAATTATATAACACTTTACCTGAAATGTTGTACTATAGGTGAGATTGTTTTGTACTCCAGAGAGTCAAGGTAGTGTGTATGACTTGCGGTAGTGTGTAGAAATTGTGGTAGTGTGTATGACTTGCGGTAGTGTGTAGAAATTGTGGTAGTTTGTATGATTTGTGGTTGTGTGTATGCCTTATGGTAGTGTGTATGCCTTATGGTAGTGTGTATGCCTTATGGTAGTGTGTATGCCTTATGGTAGTGTGTATGAATTGTGGTAATGTGTAGGCATTATGGTAGTATGATTTGTGGTAGTGTGTATGAATTGTGGTAATGTGTAGGCCTTATGGTAGTGTGTATGATTTGTGGTAGTGTGTATGAATTGTGGTAGTGTGTATGAATTGTGGTAATGTGTATGATTTGTGGTAGTGTGCATAAATTGTGGTAGTGTGTATGACTTGTGGTAGTGTGTATGCCTTATGGTAGTGTGTATGAATTATGGTAGTTTGTATGACTTGAGGTAGTGTTTAAATGCGTTTGGTTTACAAAGCCCTGACTATGAAAAGTTCAAGCGAACGCTAATTGGGATTTTTGGGGGTAGGTCACAGCTGGGCCAACTGCAATGGATCTTCAGATGGTTGGATCGCTGTATTCCAGGTATACGAAACGAAACACCCGTTGACGCTGTTGACATCGCGGGCCAGGTTCGCCAGGACATGCAAGCGACCTTCCGGTCATCAGGCTGGTACAACTCACGGGGTGATATGCAACCAGAAAATGTGGAAACATTGATAGAACTAATAAGTTTTCTTCTTTCCGTCCGTGTTCCCTTATATAGCCGGGCACAGGAAGTACAGTATGAACCACCCTTGGATATGGTGGAATACGCAAACAAGCTCTGTCCCCAGGCTACGGGCCCCTTACTGGCGCAACCCTCAGTGACGTCACCACAACCCCAGCAGTCTCAGATGCCTCAGATGCTTCACTCCCAGACTCCTTACGCGACACACTTAGCTCCGATCGCTCCTCCCCGCCTAACATATAAACAGAAAACATCGTTACGATGCGCACATTGTAATAAACGTGGCCACGTAATGGAAGATTGTTTTCAGCTCCGAGGTAATAGTGCAAATAAAGCCACACCCGGTGCAAAGCCATTCTCAAGGTCAAACAGAGAGGGAGCAAAAGCAGCACCTCCTCCTCCTACCCAGACAGCGCGCAAATGGTGCGCTCTTCACAAATCGACATCTCATAGTTCACATGAGTGCGATATACTAATAAAAGCTAGGGGAGTGGACCTAAGTGAAACGGAGGTGTCGTATAGGCGCAAGCAGAAACGTCCCCAGGACAAGTCATCGGGGGAAGACCAGCGCACACTACAGCAAGGAGAGGGATAGATAGGGTAATTCCCGCCCCTCCTTACAACACTTCTATAGCGGCGCTTAGAAAAGTGGAAGTGTTGTCAGTGCCGGTGAGAGTGGATAATACCAGATTGGCTCTTGATATAGACACAGGTGCTTGCGCTAATGTATTGGCCTTGACATCATATCACGAGTTACAACGTAAATTCCCTCACCGCAAATTCAAATGGAGGCCTAGTAACGCTGAGCTCGAAGGAGTTTCAGGTACTCAGCTGAGCATCAAAGGAATGGTGACGTTACCTCTCAGATTCTCAAGACGTGGTACGCCCTTCTACGCGGACTTTTATATAGTTCAGCAGTTCAATTTGCCAGCTGACGGGTTACTTGGTCTACCAACTCTTCGAAAGAACATGATAGATGTTCATCCACGTAATAATAGTGTTACGTTTAAAGGTGTTTCCTACACAGCAATGAGTCATTCTGAACCTATGCTCACCGCTAGGACGAAAGTGTTGTCTACCAATCCTATTAAGAGGAAGGCGGATCTTGCGTCAGAGATATCTCTCGACCTCAACCACACACCTTCCCAGCGTGATTACAGCAGCAAGAGTTGGAAGATAGTACCTGCAATGTTGAAGAGTACTCTCCATTACCAGAATGAGGAATTCACCAACGCAACAATCCTGTGAGCTGAAGTGAACATTAGTTTCTGCAAATGATTCGTTCACTGCCCAGGGTGTGACAGGACGTGACTGCAGTTGTTGTGACTGCTCATCAATCAACATCCTGTCAACAAAATTCTTTCGTATGGCGTAAACAACCCCCAGTTGCCAGCGCCCAGCACCCACCCTAGTGATGATGACACATCCGGTCTGAGAGATGGTCTCAGCATTCTGAGGTATGGTGTTGTGGATGACGTTGTGTAACAATTAGCGGCGGTTTGCTGTACTCAGGATTTTTGTGAGCATTGACCCAATCACCGGACCTTGGAATCAGCTGTGTCTACTGTGACACACACACACAAGTCTACGGGGTTGCGGGAGCAATTTCACATTATCAAGAAATTAAAGAAAGGTTGTTATGTGTGTGATTTTCTAGATATCACAACAATGTCGAAGTGCAACCAAATAAATTCCTAATTCGAGGTATTGTTGCGAATTGCCAACAGACTCGACTGGCCAGGATAGATCAAATAGCACCACATGTCAAGGTGATCGATCATCCTCAGGGCAAGACA